GTGATCCACCCACTTCAACCTCCCAAAGTGCTGGGATTACAAGCGTGAGCTAATGTGCCTGGCCTCAAAAGTTAACTTTTAAAGAAGAAAATGCAGTTACATCAACAGTGCATCTTAATACTCAAGATCACTGCAAACATTCTCTGAGCAATCATTTCAAAAGTGAACGTGTGTGCACAAACATACGCATTCTTTCCGATAAGAAAATGCAAAAAGGATCGCGAATGGCTTGACATTAAAAACAAAGATACTGCCTTTGATTAATATTTTAAATAAGACTTTAGTCAATAAGTATCAATCTTTGAAGTAAAAGGGAGCACAGATATTTGTGGTTTTGAATATTTCAGAATACAGTATATTTCTTGGAACACAAATTCTTCAGGATTTTAGCAGCTGTTAGTGCAAGAAAGATGCTCTGATCGGGAAGTCTGAGTAACACTGACCTACACAAAGGTATCAGTTTCTTTTCTGTAGGAATTCTCAGAACCCTTAGAAGGATAATTGCACTGGGAACCCTGGTGTTCCGTTGAGCAATTTAAAGTCTTTAGAATACATTTTGGATAACACTGTTTAAGACTGTTCTGCTACCAAAATAAAGATTGTGTCTGGTTTTTGTAAAAATGAGACATGAGTAATAATACATTTACTTTATATGCCTTTCTTGACTAAATTTGAAGATATCCTTAAGTCCTATCAAATGGAAAACACATCATTACACCCCTTCCGTATAAAACTTTTGTAAAAGAGGAAGGGCAGGAGCATGGGCACTATATTTCTACTGCCATGATCGCCCATCACTTACTACTCAAGCTAAATGCAGCCACTTTGAGCTAATCCAGTCTGGAAAGCTCATCCTGCAAATTTGGCATATCTGTCAAGCCCAGTGTGAAGAATCAAAATATTCTTTGTATGCTATGAATGCATCCTCTGCATTAATCCACATTTCCTATTTATTCCCCTGCACCTCATGTAAATCAATTACCTAAAAAAGTCTCAAAGCAAAAGTTGAGCTTCAGGAACTCAATTTAGGTCATGTCTTTCTCATGAAGAAAGCAGACTTTCCTCAATTTCAGAGTTTTTGTTAATAAACACCTACCCGTGCTGTTCTGTCATCATACTCTTCATCAGACATTAAAAAGTTACAGAGTCCTCGGGTGGGGATGCTAGTGTTTTCCGTGATCCAGGTGTGCAGATACACCTCTCCTAAGACTCGCTTCATGTGTTCCCTGGTCAAGTGCATCTCCACGGCTTCAATTTTCCCTTGGATTTCCAGGAGTTTCTCTTCCATTGGCTCACGGCCTCCGGCATCTCCAGTCTGAGCGAGTGAGTCATCCGCGGGCTCCTCTCCATCTCCTTCCTTACTCCTCTCCTGCAGGCCTTGCTTCACCACCGGTTTGGAAGAAGTGCCTTCTTCCTGCTGTTCATCCTCAGGATTGCCCATTCCAGGTGAATCTACTAGTAAGATTTTTGAGTCCTCCTGGGTGGGTTTCCATAAGGCTTCTGAAGGGGTTTTCTGCATTGACTGATATAAAATCCTCAGGAGGAAAAGCTTAAAACGCCAAAAGTAGGTGACTCCACTGCTTTCAATCTTTTTTTCCAAGGCTTCTTGTAAAAATTGAGGGATATGTTTATCTTTTAAAATCTTCCAGCGTACGAGGTCTATTAAATCTACCTGCTTAAAAAGGTTTTGAACAGAAGATTCCAGGAGCTGAGCAGCTGCCTCTTCAAAGGTTTTGAGAGTAACAAACTGGACCTGGTAGTTTTTGTTAACAGGGTGGAGGCCGTTGACCATGCCCTCGGTGGTAATGATGGCCAGGTACGCACCACAGGGGCTCACTGCTATCCCATGAGTCCTCACTGAGCCAAACACATCTGAGAGTTTAATCAACTGGTGTTCAAACTTTAACGCAACATCCGTGAAAATGGGAATCAGCTGCCTCACTTTTCCGTCACTCGAGCAAGTATAGACCGTTCCATTCTGTTTGTCTGCAGTCATGGAGACAATAGGCAGTGAGTGGAGGCCCGTCACGTGGGAATTGTGAACATTCAGCCCTGCTTTGGAGATCAGAAGAAGACACCAAAATACGTAGGAGCCTCTTGCAGCTACTACTAGGCTGCAACTACACTTCTGGTAAGGGTGATAAAGTGGCACACATTTGATGCTGTGCACAGGCAACTGGTCCATTTCTTTCCACAAGATAACAGGCTGCCTTAAAGTGAAATAGCCTTTGACTGCTTTGAGATTGACAGGAAGAATTTTTACAGGTCCGAAAGCACTCCCCACAATAAGGCCACTCATCTTTCGATTATTGTGCTCATATTCCCACCAAAACAATACACTGGGAGAGGTGATTCCTGACTCAATCGTATTGCATGAAGAGATGGATTCTTTTCCGACAAATGGCAGCTGAAACTGCCACACGGCGATGTTACCGTTTTCAAAGAGGACGGCCAGGAGCACACTGCCGACGTCCCGGCATTCGTTGTTATGCTTGACCTGCTGAGTGGTACAGATGCCTGACCACTCCATTCTGACTGGGGTCTGCATGCTGTGTCTCCTCTGAAACTCAGCAAAATCCCCGAGATTTCCTTCTGGGGCCTCACTTTTAGAGAGCCTGTAACTGGTCTCATAAAGACGTTCTCCGTAGATCTCAGTCAGGTCAACCAGCTGGACCCACTGCAGTCTGTTGAGATTCGCCTGGATGGTCAGGCGATTGTCCATGGTCAGTGCTGCCAAGAGGCACCTGCCATTAGCATCACAACCCATGGGAGACCAGCTGGTGTACTTGAAGCCTCTCATTGGTGGTAAAGCCTTCCCCTCAGGGTTGAACACCCTATCCAACATGAAAGTCTGACTGACCGTGGGGTCCTTGGAGGCGGCGAATTTCTCCTTGCACTCAGCAACTTCTGTTTTTGAGCCAACCTGAAAATAAGAGATATTAAAAACTATCAGATGAGTACTTACTCAAGGAGACGACATTTTTAAAAATAAAGTCAGAATAAATATCATTATTTATAGCCTGACTCCCATATTCTTCTTAGAATTAATATATGCAAGAGAAATGTACTTGATTCTTAAGATTCAACAGAGCATTTAGATGAGCTAGTCACAAAACAAAAAAGGTGTTACAAATTTATGAAAATATTTATATCTTTGATACAATTTAATATTTAGATTTTTACAGTATCTTTGCAATACAAATGACAGCTTTAAGTCCTTTATCTGAAATTTCATTCACAAATAATGGTGAGAGCCAACTCCAGCTGCTTTGTTTACTGTTTCTATAGAATAATGTTCACTCTAATCAGACTATTCTAGTTGCCATTCCCATCTCAGCTTTCCCTGGCTCCCTTGCCTGGTTCTTCCTCCTATGTAAATCCCATCTCTCCTACCAGATCGAATTCTCTCTTTAAAGCCTTTTGAGGTCATTCAAGCTTTCATTCATCTCTTCCTCCTCCAAGTTTGTAACATGTATCAGACAGTGCCTAGCTGTATGACAGTGAGTTCTTTTTTTTTCAAGATGGAGCCTGGCTTTGTCATCCAGGCTGGGGTGCAGTGGCATGATCTCGGCTCACCGCAACACCTACCTCCAGCGTTCAAGTGATTCTCCTGCCTCAGCCTCCCAAGTAACTGGAATTACAAGCATGCACCACCACACCCAGCTAATTACCTCAAGTGATCCACCTGGCTTGGCCTCCCAAAGTGTTGGGATTACAGGTGTGAGCCACCGTGCCCAGCTGTGAGCTCTTTAAAAAGATTTTAAAGGGACACTGAAGACGGAGGAAGAGAGAAATGACCAAGAGAAAGTGGTTCAGCATCACAAAAAGGAAGGCTAAAGAAAAAAAAAAAAAAAAAAAAAAAAAGAGCAGAGACTAGCCAAAAGATGTTTTGTTACGTCAGAAGCAGGAAGAAGAAAGGACTTGATCCACTGTCTTTAGAGAAATGAACAAAAGAAAAATAATCCTACAATTCTTCTTTAATGTCAATCTCCTTTTTCAAAGAAGCTGATCTTTAAACTGGAAAGAGTAGAACGCGAATAAAAGGAAATTCCAGGCCTAAGACATACACGCATATAATAAAAGTCACTTTAACTGAGTTTAAGTTTTCAAGCCTAGAGGAATTACCCTCTATGACACAAAAGCATTTGGAAGATGTTAAATCAGAACCACTGACTACATCCTAGATGAAGTATGGACAACTGGGGCTATGTTAGAAAATCAGAGTGCAACAAATAATTTAAAACTATCCCTCAAGGCTCACGCCCGTAATCCCAGCTGTTTGGCAGGTAGAGGTGGGTGGATGACTGGAGACCAGGAGTTTGAGACCAGCCTGGGCAACATAGTGAGGTCCCATCTCTACTAAAAATACAAAAATCAGTCCGGCATGGTGGCAGGCACCTGCAACTCCAGCTACTCGGGAGGCTGAGGCAGGAGAATTGCTTGAACCCGGGAGGCAGAGGTTGCAGTGAGCTGAGATTAGGCCACTGCACTCCAGTCTGGGTGATGAAGTCAGGCTCTATCCATAAATAAATAAACCACCCAAATAGTAAATAAATAACAAAAACTAGGGACCATTAAGCCTAACAGAAATAAAATTCCTCAATGTATTAACAAATGAATAGTCTGTGCAGACAGGAGTGATGATTAGAAACTAGCAAAGGATAACTGGAATAATCTATTCTTATTCTGTCTTCTAAAATTGCTAGATGACATAATAAGCAAATAAAATGAAATGTTAACAGAAAATTCTCCACAACATAAATTAGAGAACTTTTCCTACGGTGTATTTCACAGTACACTACTCCCTTAAACTGTCCCTTGAAAAATAGTTCTACGGCCAAACAAGCTTTGGAAATACCATATATTACACATCATTCTCCCTTGAAAAGTGACACGAGGACACTAAACGCTTTGGCCAGGGAACTACTATAGAGACCTACTGAGCCACAGGAAGCCAAACTTTTTTTCCTTTTTAAACAACAGAACCTTTGGTGGGGGCAGTTATTACCCTTTAATGACGTTTTAGGCAGTATATCTTGATTGTAGGAAGGCATTTTAAGGTAGTCTCTTGGATACACTATGAAACTTGCTGGAGAATCAGACTGAAAACTCCAATTAAACGAGGTGTAGGTGGCTGGCTTGGAAATGAAGTAATGCTAATCAGAGCCCAGTGCTTTCTAAAGGTAGATAAAATTTGTAAGATAACATAATGAAGTGCAGCATAATAACTGAAAATCTGTGCTATGATGCCAGACTCCCTGGGTTCAAATGTTGGCTCTACTACATACCAGCTCTGTGACTGTGAGCAAATTGCTTAAACCTTCTGACCTTAATTTCCTCATTTATAAATGAGATTAATATACATCCCATAAAGTTAGGAAGGTTAAGTAAGTCAATATATTAAAGCATAAGTGCTGAATAAAGTTAGCTATGATAATTATTAATAAACTCTGAGGATGAAGTTAAAAAAATTTTTTTGAGAGTCTCTCTGTCACTCAGGCTGGAGTGCAGTTGGTGTGACTACAGCTCACTGCAGCCTCCACCTCCTGGGGTCAAGCGACCCTTTCATCACCTCCTGAGTAGTTGGGACCACAGGTCCACACCACCAAGCCTGTCTAATTTTTAAGTTTTTTGTAGTGATGGGGTCTCCCTCTGTTGCCCATGCTGGTCTTTAACTCCTGGGCTCAAGTGATCCTCCTGTCTTGGACTTCCAAAGTGCTGGGACTACAGGTGTGAGCCACAACACTCAGTCTTAATAAGATTTTTAATGCTAATAAAAGTATGCAAAAACGCAAGGTAGACATAAAGTTGTCTAACAAATGGAGGATAGATATAATAAAATCGTTCATCAAATCCTTCAGTACTGTGAACTAAGCAATACTCCTTAGAATAGGTTAAATTTGCTACCAATAAAAGCTACTGTAGAAGTAAACTCACAGGATTGGTAACCCAAAGCAGCGGCACAGGATGAAATAAAGGAAGCTCGATCAACCCATGGTACTACTCATTGTAGGAAGAATTCCTGACAGGATGGACAGCAGCACAGATCTTGACAGATAGGAAAAAGCCTTAGGGTTTTGTGCAGCAATTTCTGACATATTAGTTTCAATTAGACTACTGCACCTCCTTCCAACTCTCCCTATCACAAAACTGTTAGCAAATCAAATATTCAGATGCCCAAGGAGTATACTTACAGTCCAGCTCCCAGGGGCCTGCCCACAGCCAATCATTTAATTGTAAACCATCCAGTTTCCAGTTGACCACTAATACTATTAGGTTGGTGCAAAAGTAATTGCAGTTTTCACCATTACTTTTTAATACTAACCGCTAAGCACTTTGTATGCACCTGACAAAAATTCACTTGAATCTTTTAGTAAGCCTCTTTTTTTTATTTTTGAGCCGAAGTTTCACTCTTGTTGCCCAGGCTGGAATGCAATGGCACGATCTCTGCTCACCGCAATCTCCGCCTCCCAGAGAATTAAGCAATTCTCCTGCCTTCACCTCCTGAGTAGCTGGGGTTACGGGCATGTACCACCACTCCCAGTTAATTTTGTACATTTAATAGAGACGGGGTTTCTCCATGTTGGTCAGGCTGGTCTCGAACTCCCGAACTTGGGTGATCCACCTGCCTCGGTCTCCCAAAGTGCTGGGATTACAGGTGTGAGCTGCCGCGCCAGGCCCTAGACAGTAAGATTCTTGAGGACAGGTAATAGAATCCAAAGACAGGCAACAGTTATTACTGTAACAGATAAAGTTAATACTTTCTAAGGCTCCTAACAATTGATACACAATACAATTAGGTACATAAATATTATCAGAATTTGGAATCATACACAAATGATGGTTGTATGGTTCATCATCACAAACTACTAAATTAACAGTCCAATGGGAAAAACAATTTTGATATTCTGAAATCACTATTTCATTGCTTTTCAGTTTATACTGTTCACCTTTACAATCATACAATCTTATAAAACTGCTGTTGAGCCGGGCGCAGTGGCTCAAACCTGTAATCCCAGCACTTTGGGAGGCCGAGGTGGGTGGATCACGAGGTCAAGAGATCGAGACCATCCTGGTCAACATGGTGAAACCCCGTCTCTACTAAAAATACAAAAAAAAAATCAGCTGGGCATGGTGGCGCATCCCTGTAATCCCAGCTACTCAGGAGGCTGAGGCAGGAGAATTGCCTGAACCCAGGAGGCGGAGGTTGCGGTGAGCCGAGATCGCGCCATTGCACTCCAGCCTGGGCAACAAGAGCAAAACTCCGTCTCAAAAAAAAAAAACAAAAACAAAACAAAACAAAAAAACTGCTGTTAATGTCTAAACTATTATATAGCTGCAGATTTTCCTGCAAATTCATAATCTAAATAACAGAATCATAGAGCAAAGGCTTCAAAGGTGTTTAGTACCTAGCTTTCTAGCAATGCTGCATTAAAACTGATCTGCACCGCAGACTGTCCACCATTTAGGTCAGCAGGAATGCATGCTGCACAGCACCGAAAAGATTGAAATCCACAGACTGTCAATGGATAGAGTCATCAAAGTGCTGATACAGATTTCTTTACGTTCCTACCATCATACCAGAGTTTTATTCCACAGAGGACTCTTGTAGAACTGCAGGAACAACTCAGCAGTCATTCACTTGGCAATCAAAGTCTAACAAGACGGCTAAATGACTGATGGTTTATGTGATGTACACATAAAAAAAAAAAAAAAAACACCATAGTACAGAAGGGGAAAGTGTCACTAATTAATTTCCTGGAAGTCATTTGTCAACTATAAGAGGGCTATATAAGGATTTCCTGTTACTAGATGTTGTGGTAAATGTCAAGTGAGGAAAAATGACAGTCAAAATTTTATCAGAATACTAGGGATATCTTCCTGTCCACAACCACAACATTAATTCAGACTCCTACTCCTTCATGCCTGTATAACTGCATAATATTTTCACCTTGAGCATTTACAGTGTGCCAAGAACTGTGCCCAGTGATTGTGTATATTTAATCTTCTAAAAAGCCTGAACAAGGTTTCATCATCTCCCTTTTATAAATAGGGCTATCTTGTGCCAAAGCCCAATCGCTTAACTTCTATTTTACACTGATCCAGTCAATTATCTTCGTGCCTCTTTTCAGCCAGATTCATGTTCCTGAACTGTAACAGGTCACTATATGCTAATGAAAACCATAACAGCATCTTAAGGGCTTCCTAGATTGAAGTCAACTCCCTCATACCGGCCTTCCAAGTTCATAAACCAGCCTCATGTTACTTTCTGACTCTCTAGAAGAGCTACTTGAGTTCATGTACTGATCTGTTATTACACAAACAATACAGTAGTAAATTATGTTCATGACTTTACGTATGCACATGGGATGAATGCCCTTTCCTCCCTTCCTCTTACAAGCCAAACACAACCTCTTTAGGACTGCTCCAGATTCACCACCAGATGACCTGCCCCATAAAAGTTCCTCCCCTCACCATTCCCTCCTTTCTTTACATTCTCTCTGCTAAAGTATTCGATCTCTACCATGCTGACACACATACTTTCCGAGTTGATGTGCGTATGAACATCCTTGGAAACAGTTAAGTTCCTTTTCAGCAGAAGAGACACCTTTTGCATCACCTTTCTTCTGCCTACCTCCTTGTATGTTTCTCAATTTCATAGAGTTGCATCTATCTGATATGTTTACACTTGAACAAATGTGGTCTTATCTCCTTCAAAAACATCTTAGACGAAGTTTAGTCATACAAGCTAACACTCTGACAACATCAACCTGTTTTAAACTTGAATTAAGTATGCTAAAAAGTGATAAGGGTTATCTGCACCCTACCTATGCTAATGACTCATGTTTTAAATGGCTGTCCTGAATAAGAGTTACAAACACATAAACATGTTCTCTGTATATGGACACAAATCTTTTCAGTGCTTATCACTACCCGACAGTACCTTATCATTTGTTTTTGACGTGCCAACGAATGTAAACTTCATGAGGGCAGCGGCTCTGTTTTGTACACTGCTTTATTTCCAGAACATGGGGCAGCACCAAGCAAAGTAGTAGTCAAATATCTAATGACTGTATGTAAACGTTGACAGATTACATATAAGCGTACACCTCTATCAACGATATATGGAAAAGTTTTTACACCTCTAAGCAACTAAACGAACGCTAAAAGGAACTATAAGGAACGCTATGGCTTACTACTTGACCTTGCGCTTGAAGTTTAAGAAACGCAGTTGTTTCGAGTCTTTATTTTCATTCCACATCGCAAAGATGTTTAGCTAGTAAAGAAAGACTAGAGTACAAACCCCGAGATCCAGTATTTACCCGTTTGCCCAAGGTGAGAGACGAGGACCATTCATAATAAAGTCACAGAAACAGTTAAGACAATGAATAGGACCAGTTTTTCTTCTCTGAAGCATAAGAGGCGCGAGAGGAGGGCACACACAGTAAACAAAGCCAGGCAAGAACCTCAGAAAGTCGGCCCCAGACAATAGGAGCGACGACCGAGGCAGGTCCCGCGTTGGATCTACAGGAGGTGGAGCCTCAGAAAGCACCACGGAGTAACCCACTCCTTGTGCGGGCGAAGGAGGTTGGCGGGACCCAACTCCGGGAAGCCCCCTGGGTGTGTACCTGTGTTTGGGGCGGCGGGTGACCTGGGGAAACGGTGCAGGCAGCTGCAGAGCTTTCCTTTTTTCTTCTTTAAAGCTGTGGCAACCCTAGCTTAATCCCCAGCGCTGGATGCGAAAATGGAAATCCCCGGACCGAATGCGGAACGGGATTCCCCTGGGACAGATGACGCGGCGGCGACAGGGGCTGGCGGGGGATGACTTACTTTGAGGAGACAGCTATTGAGAGGGGCAGGCACCGAGGTGCGGTGGATAACCAGGTCCTGGCCCGGGTTGTGCACGTCGCAGATGAGCTCCAGCACCGCGATGCTGCGGGCCGTGGACACTGACACGCGGTGGTCCTCGGACCAAGCCAGCGGTTCCAGACCGCTCACCGCATACTGCAGCTTCACGGCCGGCTCCCGCCGGGTCACCATGAGGCGGAATGCAGCGCTGGGCCCCGGGGCCGCGTCCGCTGCCGGCTCCTTCCCGCCCGCCTCGCTGCCCGCCTCGCCGCCCCCCTCTCCCTCCTCCTCTTCGGGCGGCGCAGGCCCATCATCCGCGGGCCCCACTAGGGTCTGGTCCGCCGTGTCCATCTTCTCTCAGGTGCAGAGATCGGACGCCCAGGCGCTCCAAGCCCGCGTAGCCGTCACGCGGCCACCTCCCGCACCAACGCCACCACCCCCACCCCCAGCGCCCTCCGCGGCGGTTTTCTACCCTCAGGCCCGGAGCGCCGCCGAGCCAAGAAGGACCCCACCGTTGCCAGGCAACGCGGCCCTGCCAGGTGTCCGAGGAGCTGCCTGTCCAGAAAACGGCCGCGAGCCGGGAGCCCCGAGCATCCCCTTTCCCTTGCCCAGGGATTGAGCTCGAGCCTCAGTCCACACAACGAGTTAGGCTTTGGTTCCTGAGTGCTAAGGAAATGCATGCGGCGGCAAAGGGGGACTTCTTCGGTGAGATGGCGCCGGGCCTCGTTTCTCAGAGACATTCAGAGAACTTCCCTAGCATGAACTCTTGACCGAATGTAATTTTGCTGGGCCGCGAGGTACGCAGAGCGGGGTTACCACCGGCGGGGACCGGGGCCCCCGGCTCGCCGCTATCCGCCCGGTGCCGCCGTCTCTGTCTCCCCTCGGGGTGGGTCGGTACAATTGGAGCCGTTCCGGACCCGGAAGAGGCTGCAGCGCAGGACTCGGCGGGGCAGCCGCGCGGGGTCCTCGCGCGTCCCACGTGGGGTCCTGGCCCCAGCCGTCTGCACACCCGGCTGGCCGCTGTACCAAGCGTACCCCACGCAGGCCATGGCAGCCGCCGACGGTTCGCTCTTGGACAACCCCAGGACGTTCTCCAGACGCCTCCCAGCGCAGGCGAGTCGGGTGAGTTTTGACCCGGCTTCCGCTCCGTCCCCACCCGAGGCCCGGCTCTTGGCGCGCCGGGAGCTGCAGCTGTGATTCGGGGTCGGCTTTCGAGTCCTTTACGGAGTTAAGTGGGAGAAAGTCAGACTCTCGGCAGCTTCGGAAGGAGTTGCGCCGAAACACGTGTCTCTGACAGGAACATCACCCGCTGGGATGCGCCTGGAATGAGGGAGTGGAGCGGTGTGGAGGGGCGGGGAGCTGCGTCCTGCGCCTAGAAAAGTATAGGAAGGAATTGGAGACTGTTTCCCGTGGAAGGTAGGACTTGACGCTCTGGCGCGAGTCCCAGGCTGAGGCTTAACTTCTGTAAGTCAGTTTCCTCGACTGAGTGCGGACTGACCCCTGATTTTTTTTTTTTTTTTTTAAATCTTGCCCAAATTCCCAAGGGGTATGGAGAGTCATGCCCTACAAACCATAATTTCTCATCAGATTGGTTTCATTTAACTCTATATATCGTGACTTATTTTGCAACCTGACTCTGGCCTAACGTTATATGACAAAGAGGAAAGTCAAAATATTTTACCCCAAAACATGTTTCTTTGCCGTATTTTGAAATGGCCCAGCAAAGCTGTTCTTTGTGGGAGAAAACTTTACATCTGTAAAGAATCTCTATTAACATAGCGAGATCTTTTTCTTCCAGGCCCTCCTAATCCTAAAGAGATTAGGAGTCTACCACCTTTCAAAGATCTGAAAAGGAAACATTTATCCTCTGTTGTCTCTAAGGGCAGCCACTGAGGACTTCAAAAGAACCTTGGTCCCCACAATCTTTTATCTTAACCTGAGCATTTTCTTTCTATCTATGCTAGGTCTTTAGGCAAACTCAACCTTAAGTGGCAACTAGAAAATGTTTTAATTTACCCATAGCCTGGAACCTCCCCTCCCCCCACACTTTGGGTTGTCCCACCTTGCTGGACCAAACCAACGTATTTCTTGAATGTATTTGATTGATGTTTCATGCCTCTCTAAAATGAATAAAACCAAGCCGCACCCTGAATACCTTGGGCACATGTTCTTAGGATCTCCAGAGGGCTGTATAATGGGCCATGGCTGCTTATACTTGGCTCAGAATAAATATCTTCAAATATTTTACAGAGTTTTAAACTCTTTTCACCGCCATGAGGAAGGTTCATTTGTTTCAAGAATGAGGACTGACAGGAGTTTCTTTGAAGAGCTTTCAAAGATGGGACAGATTTTCATCCACGTGCAATGGAGGGGGAAAGGAAAATACATTTCACTGATAGAATCCCATAGCTAGAAAGGGGAAAGATGCCCTAAAATTAACTTAGGCAAGAACTGAAAACTTTCAAGAACTGAGAACTAAGTTTCTAGGATGATTTGTCTCCTAGAAAAGAGGACTACAGGATAGAAAAGGTCATGTAAAATCATAAAGTGATCATCATGCTTTAGGATTGAGATGCTTGGCAGTAACGAGTCCAGCCAGCCAATGGTGTAGCTGCATCTAGGAGGATGGAGGAGAAGGATAGAGAAGCCATTGGGAGCATGGGATTTGGAATAGGATAGACCTTGGATTCGATACTACCCTTGTTGCACACTAGTTCTGTGACCCTGGGGGAAGTTACTTAATCTTTCTGATTCTCACTTTTCCTAGTTATAAAAAGAGGACAATCATTTCTACTTCATATAAGGTAATTATAAAGATTCAATGAGATAATGTACATAAAGACTATACTTTGGCCCACAGGGACATTATATAAATGCCAACAACACAAAGTAGTGTTAGCTCCATTTTGGATAATAGATTGCTATGTCAGGAGGTCAGTGGGGTGCTTGTGTCATGTGCAGAGCCTAGTAACTAACACATAAGGAGCATGGAGTAAATACATGTAGGGTACCTAGTTTTATGATTATCAAAAGGGGATTAATTAATGAGGTGATGCAGTGGCCTTGTCTGTATCCACATTTTCATTGATGTCATGAATGAGAATGATAGATATGCTGATTAGACTTGCCAGCAGCCTGAGCTTGGAATGGATAGCTAATATACTGGATTTAGAAAGACTGACATCTTAAATTTTGCTATATCTAACATTATGCAGAAATTGTCTCTCCAAAAATACTTTCTGGACCGGGTGCGGTGGCTCACGCCCATAATTCCAGAACTTTGGGAGGCTGAGGCAGGCAGATCACCTGAGGTCAGGAGTTCAAGGCCAGCCTGGCCAACATGGTGAAACCCCATCTCTACTAAAAATACGAAAACAAACAAACAAAAAACTAGCTGGGCATGGTGGTAGGCGCCTGTAATCCCGACTACTCAGGAGGCTGAGGCATGAGAATCACTTGAACCCAGGAGCCAGGGGAGGTTTCAGTGAACTGATATCACAGCACTCCAGCCTAGGCAACATAGTCAGACTCTGTCTCAAAGAAACAAAACCAAAAAAATTTTCTGACTTTTTTTTTTCATGCTGAACAATCTTTAGTTCAAATATAAAAGTTCAATACAATCCATTTATAGGGCTCGAGATTTGTTGATCTTTTAAAAACAAGAAATGGGGAAATGCAACAAAATGATCTTTCCACTTTCCAAAAGCTTTCAAGGATAAAAAGCATAGCTCATAGGGCCATAAAAGATCTGTTTAATCAAACCCACTTTCACCCGCTACCAATCGTCTTACTCCTATTCCACAATCCTAATACACATTCCTGAATGAAGATTTACAGTTCAGCTTTGCTACGTGACCATTTAAAAAATACCTAGCACCAGCATGCTTCCTATAATGGCAAGCAAATCATGACACTCCTTCAATATGCAATTCTTCTTTTTAAAACAAAGGGGGCAGTTATTTGTAGAAAGTAATGCTTAGCCTCCAGATACATTTCCCAGAAATGGCATATGCCATTCAAAGGCCTAGACACTCTATGCTTTCAATGTAGAATAGTAGCCTAATGTGCATAGAAGCATGAATGGCAAAGTTGAAGATCAATATTATAACTATTTTTTATTTATCTGAAGCACAGTAAAAGAAAAAAATTGGTACACTTTGGAAATTCAGTGGCCCAGGGTACACTGTCATAACTTGAGGGACATTATAAAGTTTTTAAAGAAAGAGGAAATAAGAAGGAAAAATAATTCTGTTTCAAACACTGCGTTGCATAATTTTACCTGCCGGAACAGACCATTTACAAGTATTAGATCAATAAACTGCTAACATCCATAAAAAAGTAGCTTTCTTACTAAAATGCAAGAATTTAAAGATTGGTGTCTAAACAAAGGACAAAAACTGGAATGAAAGTGTAGGTATCACATCTAAAATTGGGGTTTTTTGTTTGGGCCTTGGTACTCCTCTCTGTGTCATATCCTGCTGGAGTTCCAGGCCCATTCCTCTAAGACCCTGTCTACCTACAGGCCCCACACCTCCCTGCCCAAGGCGCTCAGTACACATGTCACTTCCCATCCTGGAACCACTCATGGTTGCTGGTGGAACTCCGGGATTAGCCTCAGAACCTATGCGGCCACCACCACCTAGAGGTGGAGCTTTCTGGCCTCCCGAACCATAGCCTCCCGTGTTCGTTGCTCCTCCGCCATCCGTTCTCATGTCTCTTTGATCCGTGTAGCCCATTCGGCTGTCACTTTCCTCTCTTTGGCGCCTCATTTGTTCTTCCATCTCACGTTGACAAATCATCATCTCTTCCTCGCTTCTACATCATTCCTCCTCTTGCCTCAATTGCATTTCTTAACATTTCTGCATTTCTTGGTTGTGAAGTTCTTCCACGCGTCTTAATTCCTCCTGTTGTCTCTTCAGATCGTGGTGCAAAGGATTTGCATGATGTTCATGGTAGGCATCTTCCATTTCATTTTCCAATTTGTCTTTTGCATCCTTCCTGTTTTTTCCAACTTGTTCCCTTTGCTGTTTTTCCATTTCATGACCAAACGCTTCCATCGCTGAGAATATTCATACTCAAATGTGCCACACTGGGCAAAATGAGGAGGGGTTTCTCTCTCCTTTGGGTACATTGGATTATTCTGAGCAATTTTTTCAGGAAGACCATCTTTAACATCTCGTTGTTCAAGTGGTTCCACAATGACTGGGCAAGGAGTTGTCAGCAGGAAAACACTGCATTGTTCAAATGCCTTTCTTGCTGCTGGTTTAGAAGCAAATTCAATACAGTAATGCCTGTCCTGGTAGATCTTCCACGATCATCCCCTGTTATAACAAATGGGATCAAAGTGGCTAATGGCTTCTTCCAGCAGTTCATTGGAAACATGAGGTGAAAGATTAGGAATAAACAGGGCAACAGGGTGTGGGGCCAAGCGAACTGGAAGCTGTCTACCCCTCATGGGTGTATCATCGAGTTCAGCTTTGGCAATTTCAGCCAGAGCTCTAGATTTAAGCTTAATAAATCCAAATCCTTTGCCTTTGTTGATAAAAACTTCTCCTGGCGCTCCATATTTAGCAAATAGTCTTTTGAATTCATCCTCTTTGATACAGATTTTCACAGGTAGATTCCCAAAAAACAACCCACATCGCTGTAAGTTTTCTCTCCAGGCCCCCTCAAGAGAGACAAGTTGGCTTTAAACCCTTCCGAGTGCGGCCGTGGGCCGGGCCCCTGTGGTGCTGCTGGTGGTAGGGTGGGTGGTGCTGGCGCCCCCGCTGCGGGGCTCCCCGCTGCTCGATGCGGTGGCTTGTGGTGGCTGCCAGGAGTGCTTAGGCCTGGGCCCTGCGCAGGCCCAAGGGCGGAGGCGTGGTAGGGACCCTGCTGCTTGGAGGGGGTGGGTGGCGGTGCCCCCGGGGGAAGGGGGCCTGAGGTGGCTGCAGGCAGCGGGGTCTGGGTGGGAGTCGGGCCTGGCCCTTGCTCGGACCCCGGCGGGGCCCCCCAGGTTGTCTGAGTGGCGGGCGGCGCGCTGCCCTCTCAGGGAGGGGGCTGGGTCCCTGAGTAGCGGTGGACTTGGAAGAGTCCTGCGGCGGCGGCTGTGGCCGTGGCTGTGGCCGCTGTTGGCGTGGAGGCGGGGGCGGCCTCGGAGACCCAGGGGGCTGCGTTCTGATTGAGGCCCGTGCCGGGCGGTGGGGAACGGAAGTCGCGGAGGCCGCCGCCTCCTCCACCGCCGCCGCCGGGACTCCGGAACCCGGAACCGATCCCAAGACAGGCTTGTGGTCAAGGGGAGGTCGAGGCAGAAGCGAAGAAGACGCTCGGGAAGCATGGAGGCCACCTTGCTTCTCCCAAAATGACGCACGGCACAGGCCAACTTTCTGTTTATTAATACAAATTTATTTTAGAAAATTTGGAAAAAACATTTTTTAAAACCCACCCGTAACTGCCATACTCAGAGACAATGCTGGTTGCCATTTGGTGTATGTCCTTCTAGAGAACAACTCAAAACAGAAATCAGACTCCATGTGATGATTTCTACAGCAGAGAGGCTACGGTTAGTAAAAGGCGCCATGGTATTGTCGTGAGGACGCTGGAATAGAATGACAGTGCCGGGGGAAAGAGAGCCTGCTTCCTTCAGTGATTCTGGGGCAAATTTCCTCACATCTCTGCCTCCGTGTTCTCATCTTAAAATGAGATGACAGCAGTACCTGTGTTGATAATGAGAGAATGCATGTGAGTACTTAGCATAGTCCTTGGCGTGCAGTAACTGCTCGGTATGTTTATGAATATGGAAGGCCTGGCGTCTTAGACTCAGGGCCAGGTGGGCCCTAGAGGTCATCTGCCAAAATCGCCTCATTTTACAGGTGTGGGAACAGAGACCCAGGCGGAAGTGACTTGCTTCATGTTGCACTGCTAATTTTCAGTAGATCCAGATACGTCCTTGCTCCCTCTCTGCTCAGATGCCACCTCAGGAAGCATTCATTCTTGGTTTTCTTGCCTCCCGCTCCTTTGCCGCAGTCCATGTGACTCTAGTTTTTCTCGCTGCTCCCGGAGCCTCTTGTACGCACCTCTTCTGTAGCACCAACGTAGAGGTTGGATTTATGCCTTTATGCTTTTGTCTCCTCTGCTAGTGTGTGACTTTCTCAAGGGCTTGGCTAATGTTTCTACTTTGTATCTTCAGAACCAAGCTTCTTGACAACTGCTGAATGAATGTTTTGTGGATGCTGGGAATAGTTGAATTGTATCCAGCTGGTGGGAACGGTTAATTCCATGTGTGTTACTCATTCACCTTACAAGTATTTGTCCAGTGCTTACTCTGCCACACATGGGCCTGTACAGGGGATACGGTGCTATGTAGGACAGACTTGTCCCTTTCTTGTGGCGTTTATAATCTAATGGGAAAGACAGACACGGAGCAGTGAGCTCCATGCTATGCTTATTATTTTGCCAAATGCCATGGAGAAGAAAGACTAAGGGCGCTAGGAGAGCCAAGAACAGGGCATCTTGGCTTGACTGGGTGAAGGGAGGTCAGGAAAGGCTCTTCTGAGGAAGGAGTTGGTGAGCCTCCATCTGAAGGATGAGACAGGGTGGCAGCCAGGGGGCAGAGTGGAGTCCTGGGTGTGGGAGTAGCATGTGCAAAGGAAGTAGAAGGAACAGCAACATTCTAGTGATTTCAGGGGGACTAGAGTGGCAGAGAGCAGAGCTGAAGCTGGTGAGATGTGCAGTGGTCAGATTCTAGAGGGCTTTGTAGATCATATTACAGACTTTTAAAAAAAATGTTTGAGTCAGGGTCTTACTTGTCGCCTAGGCTGGAGAGCAGTGGCATCACGGCGTCATCATGGCTCAGTACAACCTTGACCTTCTGGGCTCAGGTGGTTCCTCCCAAGTTAGCCTCTCAAGTAGCTGGGACTACAGATATGCACCGCCATGCCCAGCTAATTTTTGTATTTTTTTGTCGAGACTGAGTTTCACTATGTTGCCCGAGCTGGTTTTGAACTCCTGGCCTCAAGCAGTCAGCTCACCTCAGCCTCACAAAGTGCTGGGATTACAGGCATGAGCAATGGCACCTGACAGTATTACATATTTTTTATTTTAGCCTAAGAGCAATGGAAAACCTAATGTATTTTAAATCTGAGTACTTGTTTTTAAAGAAATGTTGACATAGGAATAAAGGGTGACCAAGATGTTAAGGGATCTAAACTTTGTGTCCTATTTGAAATATTGTGTCCAAAGAAGAAAGAAAAGAGAGTTATGTGATATAAGAAGAAATGTTAGGTGTAAGAGGAGGTAAGCTTGTTCGGTATTGCTGCAGAAAGTATACCTCAGACTTAGGTTTGAAGGATGCGGATCTTGCGTAAATGTCAGAAATAGCTTCCTAATTCCTAGAATTGGTCATGAACAGAATGGGCTACCTCATGGAATGCTGGAGGTGTGCAGGGAGAGGCTGCAAGTCCACCTGCCCGGGACCTGTCATAGGAATTGCATGCATGGTGGGAGTGGCCTTTGGGAATTTTTGTGCTCCAGGGAGTCTGTAAATCAGGTGAAGTCTGCATGTTTCACACTGTCTTGCGAATGGTTCAACAAACCTGAAACTTGATGTCATCTCTTTCTGTAATCTGAAAATTCATAAACTTGGGACTTTGTAAAAATAAATTTGTAAGATGGAATATGTCAGTTTTTACTTCATTAATATTAAATGTTTGAAGTTGTATTTAATTACTTAGGTAAAGGAATCCTTATGGAACAAAGAACTGTTGTTATTGGTGGCTTAGTCTGAAGCCGAGGGTCATGGCTAAGGAAAGCCGACATGTAAAACTAAGTCATTATTTCAAGCAAAGAGGAAAATAACATATTCTGAGAGAACCCAAAACTCCAGGATAACAAGCACTGGCCACTCAAGGGATGCTTTTATATTCATTTGTAAATCAGAAAAGAAGGCCAAAGAAAATAGAGGATTTGGATGTTTTTTCTCCTAGGGGAAGTTTGGACATCATGCATTTAACCACATTCACATAATGGAAATAAGAAGCAACAGGCCAGAGATTCCTAGTGCTGTGTAGCCTGTAATCGGCAATCAGGCAGGGGCTCAGAGACTTGAAAGGCAAGGAAGGTAGGAAGTAATTGTGATAGAGGTGATGGATGGAGCAGCATTCTCATTTGGAGTGGGAACAGGGAGTAGGAATTTTCTCCAGACCATCTGAATCTGGAGGAGCAGCTTGAGAGGAGAGAATGACAGATCCAAGCACTGGGGTAGAATGGGAATGAAGGTTTCCGCTTTGTGGGCACCGGCCGGGAGGCGCATTCCACTTGTCCTCTCCTGCGCGGTCTCTAGTGTGCTTTGTTGGTGGAGAGAAGAGATTTTCCCCCACCCTGCTTTTCTCCTTGGGTAAATGGATTCCTACGAATATGGATTGACATACCCTTCACAAGGTACATTCTTGCTTCCCTTAAAACAGACTCCGTTAGTTAACATTCAACTGGAAAAATGTTTCTTCTTGATCCTTACCCTCATTTTGATTGATTTGACAGTGAAGATAGATGATGAGGTCTGGTAGATGTGTGAGCTGAGATTTTTTTTCTTTTTTCTTCTCTTTTTTTTTTTTTTTTTTTTTTTTTTTTTTTTTT